GTATTTATAGTCAACGTTATTCTATAAATATACATATACTGTATTTACACGAAACGACTTTAACTTAATATATAGAGATAGTTTTGTGCCTTGTTTCACTTGACTTCCTATATAAAAATATAGTTGTTTATTTCAATGTATTTTCTAAAACCCTTCTTCTTCTAGAATTGCAGACAGTCTGTTCAGTCTACCCACTTACAGCAGGACTGACTCTAATGCTTCTACTACTGCATATCTTTTCCCTTGCTTCATTAAAAGGCTAGTGCAGAGCACTTACAAAGGAGAGGAGGTCTTTCAGCCTTATTTTGCTTATCTGGATTTCTGTTAACAGAAGTGGAATTTCAGATCACCTATTCATCCACCATTTTCTAACCAATACAGGGTCACGCGGGAACCACAGTCTATCCCAGCAAGCAATGGATGCTCAAGGCAGAGTACAACCTATATGGGACACCAGTCTATTGCAGGGCAGATGTACAAACACAGACACACATACACACTGATAGTTCACATTTTCCCAGAAGCCAAATAAATTGCCAATGTTTTTGAACTGTGGGAGGAAACCTACGCAAACATGTAAAACATCCCAGTAATCAATATCTGCACCATGATTTATCAACCCCTCACACCAACTACGCTATACAAATAAACATCTTCTGTGCAGAACCTATTTACACACAATCTGCAAGAATACGCTCGTGTCCTAGCATTTTGTCCTAGAATTTGATGTTCTTGTTTATTTCATTGGCTCACATTGGAAATGTCTGAGGCCTCAATGAGTTATCCATAAACACCTTTTTACTAAGGAGATCCAGTTGTTCAAAGACATTTCAAAATAAAATTCATGCTTCACATTTAGAGTAAAACTCTACATTTAGAATCAGATAAACAAAACATGCAAACATTCTCCTACACTCCTGTTGGGTTAAAGCCATGGCAAGTCAGGAGAATGTATTTGGACTATAATGATGGATTGAAATTGTCACTCGCTAGAAACCCACCTGTTCCATTAACTGCTTGTCAACAGATGTCATTTTACACTTGATTCTGTGTTTCATTTTCACACAAAAGACAGGAGAATGCTGATTATGTGAAGAAGGCCAGGCTGGGGTTTCTTTGGCAGGCTTTAGATGTCATTATAAGGCAATAAAAATAATTTTAATGTGTTAAGCCTTAACAGAGGGTGTGCATGACATACAGTACTTAAGTAATAAGAAATGTTTTCAAATAGCCTTTGGGACAGTGAGTTGTCAGAGCCCATTTTGCATGGCAAAGTAAGGCAGACACATTCACAGGGCTGGAGGGACAAACCAAACTCTTCGCGCCTTTTTAATTTTAATCTTGAGTGTACTTGCAGAAAACAATGTTATTTCTTTTCATTTAGTGGAAATATTACAGCAGGAATGCAGCTCTTTCAATCCTGTGTGCCCTGCATACTTAAGTAGCCATGCCCTTGATTATGGGTGTAAAAATAAATGAATAAATAATGTAAAATCATGAATCAGACTAGTGAGATCAATCAGACTATTCAGTGCTGTCATGTTTTGCACAAACAAACGTATATGCTTTGGGCCTATAAAAATAAGGAGAACAATTGTACTTTTTAATGTAAAATGAAAAAGGACTATAATGGGTTTCTATCAACTAGAAGTATCAAGAAAGACTATAATAACATATGTCCTGACTAATATTCAGATCTGTAATAGTTCTGGTCAATAAAACTAACCCGGACCACAAGTCAATTTTCTTACCACTTCTCCCCTGTAAGCAATGGGTGCAAGGCAGGATACAAGCTTGACATGAAACCAGTCCATTGCCAGGCAGACACACAGACACACACACCCTCAGGCCAATTTTCCAAGAAGCCAAATAGCCCACCACCACGTCTTTGGACTGCGTAAGGAAACCTGAGTGAACATGGGAAAAAATACAAACTCCACACAGAAAGCACCCCAGGTCCAGAATAGCAATGTAGCAGTGCTAACCTCTGTGTCATCGTACTGCCCATTGCCAGAAATTTATTATGTTCAAATATTATTATTATTATTATAAGTTGTAGTACTTAGTCTTCATTAAACTGAAATTTTTAATCCATTTTTGTTTTCTGAACATCCATTAGTAGTTAGCTTGCTGTGAGAGAACAGTTTTTTTATTTTTGAAAGCCAAGGAAAAAAGGGCAGCTCGCAATCCTTTGTGCTACAATTATCATGTGGTACTCTTCTTCGGAAGGAGGAAAGATGTCTCAATATCATCCTTTATAAATAAAACACTTCCAAACTTGTTATTGCCAGGTAACTTTACTAGTGCATTCTGGAAAGCTGATATAAAAAGAAAAGAAACAAGACCTCATACAAGCTTTACAGGACTCTTGTTTAAGGCCAACAAAGGATTTAATTAACAACAGCCTTTTCTGTATTCATCGCTAAGTAAGCAAGAAGTGCTATGGTGTCATTAAGCACACAGTGTCAGAGTTCTGTGTTTTATTAAGTCCCATTCAATCTTTCGTCCCTTAAACCATGGAAATCTAAAGGTTGCACAACTCACTGATAGGCTTCTAAGATTAGAAACTTGATACCATTGATACACAAGGCACTGGGGTCACCTGACATATCACATGATATGCCTCTATAGCAAGCTATGCCACTTGGGACCAAGCAGAGATTGAAATCACTATAACCCTCAAGCCAATGTATGCTTCGGTGTGCACATTGTTATACTACTGGAGGAGAAGCCACTCTGGATTTAAATTCAACACAGGAATATAAGAGCCCACACTCAAAAGAGAAAATGGAGGTCAAGGCTTTATAGAAGATAGTTTTTTAAATCATTCAACTCTAGCAGAAACTGAATTGATGTTCAAACATTTTAATGCTTGTCAACTTGGAATTGTGAGGTGTACGAAACATCACACTTATTCATTATCTTTTGTCATATCCTCATTATTCAGTTTCTGTGTGCAAGATAAGGAGAACTATTGCAAAAAGCTTAAAAACAAAACTCAGTAATAAAACTTCAAATTTCAACAGGACCACTAGGCTAATGCTCTTCCATACTTCTATTGATGATCTAGATTCAAGTATACTTAGTAAACTTGTAGTCTGCTTTCATCTTTCAAGTCTGCAGATGATACCAAATTAGGAGGATTAGCAAAAACTGTACAAGAAGCAAAGGAATTTTAAATAGATTTAAATAAAATATAAGAATGGGCAAACACCTGACAGATGACTGTTTAATGTGGATAAGTAAGGGTTTGGTATGCAGGTAGTAAAAATAGTAACTAGAAACCTAAAATGTGAGACAGAGCTAGAAAAGGCTACTTATGAAAATGACTTAGGTCTTTATGTTGAGACATAATTTCTATCTTGTGTGACAATGTGAGGAAGCAATTAAAAAGACAGTTAATATTTAATTATCTATAATATTTAGTTATAGATGTTGAATTAAAATAAAGGGATGATATGTACAAATTGTATAATGCACTAGTAAGGCTTCATTTGATATACTGTGTAAAATTATGGTTGCCATGTGAAAAAAAAGCTGCTTTAAAATTGATCCAGAAGTGAAGGACAAGATACATTCTAGGGCTTAAGGGAATGCCCTCCTCTTTAGTTTTGAATAGAGAAAATTACAAGGAGGCCTGATACAAGTATTCAAAGTCTTAAAGGGCATTGACAAAGTCAACCCAGTGGATTTCTTCAGAGTGAACATTGTAACACCAGCCAGGAGACACAAATGAAAACTACATTAAAAACTGAGAACAGAAGGAACTTTCATACTCAAAGGGTTGTGGGAGCCTGGAAAGAAGCTACAAAGACATGTTGTTGAAGTTGATACCCTGGATTCTTTAAAAAGCAGTTGAATGAAATCCATCACACTTGGATTACCTACTATCAAATGGGTTAGAAAGGTCAAATGACCTCCCATTATTTGAAAAAATGTATTATGCTCTTATGTAGTATGTATCCTATAATGATGATATGGAAAAAGCTAACTGCTATTTCTTGGAAAACAATCTATTGCACCTAATACAGCCTGGTTTTCAGATGTGTATTCCTATGTATCTTCAGATGATGATCTCTTTTAAATAAAACGACTTAAAAAGTATCTCATCATTCAGAAAAAGGTTGTGCTTAGAGAATGGTAATTAGTAGACAAACATTACATTACAAATAACAAATACATAACGATACAAATACGAATGCAAATCATTAATCAAAATAGTTCCACCAGAGTCAGTAGGAGTAATGTAAGAGAATGTAAATAATGTACATATTCCAGGCTTGAACTGTGAAATATCTTGACAGATGTGTCGTTTCTGTGTTCTCCCAGTTTAATTCATAATACTTACTAGTTAAAAATATTCGTCCTTTAACATACTTAGCTTTTCAACTCGTCCCGTCGTCACAGAGGAATTAAAATGTATCAATAACAAAACAAGGTAGTGTCAGATATTGCTGGCAAGAAGGACGTACATCGCAGTGAATATTTTAATCTACTAGTTAAAGGAAAAAAACAATTTTATAGATGAATGCTATATAACTTGTTAATTGCTGTCTTCAATATGAAATGACCTGAAACTTTATTTGAACTTTTCTTGTTCGGAGAAGGGGGGATGCCCTTATCACTGTAACATCCCAAAAAATCATTATATCAAAATGTAACCCGGGTTTTTTTGTGTAGGAAATGAGCACGGCGGTTATTTTTTCCTGTTAAAATGCAATGTTTCTTCCCCTTACTAGATTTACCCTTATCTTAAGAGCGTAACTTAATTATTTTACAACAGAGTACACAATATGGAGTGTGCATTCAACAAATACTGAAATATTGTTTTTGCTTTCGGTTTTCACCGTCCCACAACTCCAGCCTTCCAGATCACAGAACTTACAGAAGAAGACCGTGTTGTTGTACCATCGCAAACGACCAACGGCGAGATGGAGGAGGCGGTGCCAAAATGGTACTGTCCATCTTCTCCTCAGCCAATGGCTGGAAGTACGGTTATCACACACCAAAAATCTCACGGCCGCCATGATGCTTGTTTGCTTTCCGTGAGGCAGCTGCAGATACAGTGAGAGAGAAACAAAGAGAAAACAACACACTGGTCTTTACACATTGGTATGCGTTTTCAGGTAAAAAATATCACTTTTCTCCGATGTATAAATACATATAGTAACATTTAATGTGTTTTTTAGACAGAGGTGCAAGGAAAACGTAACAATGAATAGATTTGTGCTGTCCAGGTGGCTAGTGTTGTTAGCGAGGCTTTATTATCGTGGAATACTCGTGTTCTAGAAGAGCAGGCAAATGAGATGTGTTCTGATAAAATCCGAAACAAACGTGGTGGATTAGATCAGTATTAGGCTTTCTTGTATACGTTTTTGTTCTTGTTACATGTTCACGTCCTCAGTTCGTCGAGGTTGATGGTACCCCTTTTCTTACTAAAGTAGTTTAAACTTTTGTTTACTTTTGCTTCATTTAACCGTCTTGTAAGCATTTTTCACACCTTTAGAAATGGCAAACACCAGGAGTTTCTTTGAAGGCACTGCATCAGCGTTTTGGTTCGGAAATTGGAAGTTGAAGGGCTGTTTTGCTTTTAAAGTTCACATGCAGGCTGTGTGTGGTGTTTGTTGTGGCTTGTAGTTCATCGCAGTGAGTTTGATTTCTTTTCACCTACATTTTTTTCACCTGTTTCTGTACAACACAGCAAGTTCAGATAACAAATTTAACACCGACCGTGTATCGGGAATCGCGAATATAGTGCAAACAACGCACGGTTTAATCGTTTCCCCTATTGAGGCCTATCTCGGATTGAAGCCATTTAGATCTAAGCCGAGAAAAAGAAAGTCTTGTGATTGACAGCGCAGTGGCCCAATAACACTAAAGAAATTGTGCCTTGCTGGCTATAAACAAACATATGTTATTTAGAGATATAATTCACGAAAGGAGCCCGTCAAGCTTTAATTATTTTTTGTAGCTCCAATTATTTTTGTTTAATATTGTCTTTTCTAAAATAACATACACCCCACTTGTTTTGAGTACTATTATTTTTTATTATCCTTGTTTATGTAACATAATTGGCAAAGAGTAACATTGTTAAATCTGTACTAGATCCAGATAAACAGCAAGGATATGGTGATATCTGAGGAGAAAGTGTGTTTGAAAATAGTCAGTTCAAGTACAGATAACGCTCTGCACACGATCCAGTGTGATAAGGTATTTTAGAGTAAAAGTACATACTTTCGTAGCTTTTCAGTACCAGCACTTAAGCTCCGGTTTGGATTTTAGAAAATATAATAGGCACTGGTCAGCATTTGATAATTCACTTAAACATTATTGTAAAGTGAGGATAATTGTCCACATAAGTGGACAGAAGTTACTGACTGTGCTGATTTATTGGTCATGGGTGAACTATAATCTTCATGTAATGTATAGTCATCGACAGTTTATGTAATTAGGCCCAGATGGTAATTTAATTTGGTAGTGCAAGTTGTAATGTTTTGTCTGATGCAAGGGATCTCATACTATGCATAGTAATAACAAAAAGGGAATGAGAAGAAATTCAGCAGCAGAGCCCAGGAACAAGTCAAAGTATTTATTCACTGTTTATCATGAGACTGGGATAATGGGAGAGAATGGAGCAAGCTTTTCATTAAGAATAGTAATTGTAATACATGATGTGTTCACTCATGTCTGTTCTGTACATTTTAGTGATATTTTTCACAATTTATGGCTCACAATTGTACCTGTTTATACATCTGGGCGTTTTACCGAACAGTGAATGAATCAGTGAATCTCATCTAGAATATGAACCCATCACCCTCCATTGAGCCCAAAACCCTAATCATACCCCACACTGCTGCTTAACTAACTGCCTAGCTGTTACATAATTCCTGTCATAGAATAGATTCCTGTCTAGAAAGCAGAGGGGTAGCATGAAATAAATTCTTACTCAGTTGCCTATAGAAATAATTTCTTGCATGAAAATATCTTTTTGCGCAGTTTTATATTTTGTTCAAATATGACAAACCAATAATTTAAATCAGTTGAAGAAAATTGAATGTTTGTTTGAGATGTTTGATGCAGATTTTTGGAATTTGTATCTTTATCGTCCTTGTTTTTATTTTTAGGGTAATCATTTCTGAACCTCTGACTTGTGAGAGTTATGGCAGCCTCCCTTATTATGCAGACATCCTTGTAAAGAGAATTTTTTTTAAAGGTCTTCATTATCAAAAACTGTAAATGTACTCAACAGATCTGTGAAGCCTTATGTTTATTTAAAAAAAAAAAACGTATTTTCTAATAAAAGGATCAGTTTAGTTTGTCTTCCAGAATTTGGAGACTGTATTGTGTGCTATGAAGGGTCAAGTATGCTAACATGCTTGTTTTTCAAACATTACTGTTGATAGAAGTGCATATAAAATGTAGCTTTAGTTGTTTCAGAAAATGTTAGTTGATATTTAACACATTTGATAGGTGGCACACTGAGGCTATTTTACATTTTATTTTTTAAAATGGTTTTAACTGATGGTTTACGAAATCTTCAATAGGTAAAATGTTGTGGCTTAGCCTATATTTTCTCTATTGATAACCCTTAACAATATAAACTTTTTTATGGTTTTGAGACTCTTCACCACCATGGTATTTTTGTAAGAAACACCAAGTCTGAGAGCACATTTAGTAAAAGGAAGTGTAGGGAGTGTAATACACTTGCCTAAAGGTAATGGGTTTATTGTTGAGGTCGATTGTGGCCAGATAAAGGTGAGAAATAGCCTGCTGCACTAAATGCAAGCAGTGGAAGGATCCTTTATCAATGGTGGCCACCTAAGGTCATTGAGTGCTGACTTTATTTTCTATGTGAAAGCATGCATTTGGGGGTAAAACATGTTGAGTAGGACTTAGGTATGTTTTTAGCACTGAGAGCAGCTCCCATTTCAGTTTCATTAGTAATTGTTCATTTCAGATTAGAACAGAGAGAAGCATTTTGGCCATTAACCAATTTATGATTATTCCATTTAGATTAAAAAAACTGTTGTGATGTAGCATGTTATTTCTTTTTTTTCCCAGGCTTAGTCAATGTATTGCTGAATGGTTAAGGCTTGAAAAATTGACAAAGGTGATTTTATTTCTTATACATACAGATCTTGGATTCAGTGACAGCTTTAGTATTATGCTTCACAAGTTTGTGGAGAAGATAACGTTTTCTTAATTTATCATTCACTGCTTTGAATAGGCTTTGTGTTCATAGTGATCCTTGAGTTGCCCACAGATTAAAGCTCCTCTCCCCTTGACATCCCAGTAATGCATTTTTGTCTTATGTTCATCATGAATAGAAGAAGCAAGGTTCTCTTTTCTAATGCATCTTAATTGAAAATAATTAGAGGTGTAAATTAGGGTAAGCTGTTATTAATTTGTTTTCCTTTACATAGAATAAAAAAGAAAAGGTGAAACTGTCCTGGGGACTTAGCACTATATCAAACACTGTTCACTAGCAGTCTAACTTTGCACTGTTCTTTTCAATTTTTGTCTGATGGTGAGAAGGAGCAGATAAAGACTCTGGATGCCGAGTTAAAGAACACACCTGGAATTGTGAAGCTTATTTATACTTTGTAGGGGGCTGTCGTCACTTGGCCTAGCCTAGCATGCCCAATAGAAATTATGTGGTGCTTCAAAAGAAAATGTAGAGGTAACATCTTCATGTTTAATGGTTTAGAAAAGGTCTTTCAGTCCTAATTTTTTGTTTTGCATGTAGCAGAAATAAGTGATTATTAGCACCTAGGCTTAATTTTAAATGTAGAGCTACCTGTTCAATTTATTTAACTACAGAACTGTTTTTTCTTTTAACATTTTCAGTTATTATTCATTAATAAGAAGGTTCAAATATCCAGCAGCTGGATATTCAAGTATCATATGAATTTGAGTTATTTTCTTAAATAGGCCCTTTAGAGTTCATACTTAAGATGTATTAGAAGTCTTAGATCAGATAGGGGTTTGCCGAATCCAGTTATGCCAGAATTTTTCTTTAAGGCCGAACTCTGCACACACTAATTTCTCTTAAGTGCTCATAATCACACAGGTAGGCTTTGTTGTGCATCTGTCTGCCGACAGCTTTTGATTTCAAATTGTCAGGTTATTATTGGCCAGTTACAATTTGAATGTTAACTAAATTAATTCAATTTACAAGTTTTAAAAACCAGTATTGTTGTATGCAATGTAACTGAACTGGAACTACCATTTGATCTTAAGAAGGAGATGCAAAATGTACTTTAGAACCAAAAAAAAGAGTGCTTATATTATTGAAGTTATTCTGGTTACTCCAAATTTAGCACTGCCTAACACTGTAATGTAAGAGCTGACAATGATAATAGTTGTTTCAGAAATTGTCTTCTCTGAAACCTTTTAAAAACACTTGGGTCTGTCACACAACTAAAACATCTACATCCTTACGTACTGTACCAAAGGATGTAAGTTGTCTTTAAGTCCTTTCCTCTTACTTTTCTCTTTCTGTCATAAGTCATGTCAAAGCTCTCAAGAAAGTAACCATTTTCAGGAAAGCCAATTCTGAGATGTTTTCAACAAACATTGATAATCCTGTGGGTGCCCATTTCTAATGTGATTATTTATATTTCATTTAGCAAAGAACTGATATAATAAAGAAAAATCTGTATTGTGCTGAACAGAGCAAGTTGTGCTCGGTGCTGAAACAGGAAGTTTATCAGACATATTTCCTGTGCCCTTCTGGTAAACATGTATTAAGAATGAAATGTTTTGCCTCCAGAATATCAGTTTTTCTTCTCATTCCTCAGAGGATTTATCATTTTAAAATTTTGCTAGTGCATTAGTGCAGATGAGAGCTAAGTAACGAACAAAGGCTTCTGTCTGCAATGTAATCGGCTCTCAAAACCTCTGCAAAAGAAAACATCTCCTGCATGCCAAGAAGGAAGAATAACATAGATACTTAGCAAATGTATTTTCTTGACATGGATGTCAAAGGGAATTATTTTAATAATACGGCTATCTCCATTTCTCCCTTAGGAACTTTTCTTCAGTTTTCATCGCAAATGTAGTCTTAAGTGAAATGGTTTTGATTGATCTGAGTAATTGTGTTGAAAGAAAATGGTATTTACCTAAT